TATGTATGTATGCATGCATGAATGTATGTAAATATGTATGTATGTATGCATGTATGTATGTATGTATGTATGTATGTGTATATTTATGTATACATATATATATAAACGCTAGTGTGTTTATTAGATCATTTAATTCCACTGCACATTATACATATAATGTATATGAACATATATACGAGCAGTGCTTTAACGATGAGGGACTTTCAATGCCATGTATTTTGCTGTGAATTGCCTTATGGTGGTCGGTCAGACCATATTTTCAAATGTGTACCAATCTGCCTACCTTGGGATAAACCAAAGGAGATGTGCACTTATATACAAGTGTGACCTGGTCTAATATTTTGAGAGCGACCTATACTGTTCGTCATTTCATCAGTTTCCCCTATAAGTTCACCTGCGTAGGCTGACGTGTATGTACCTGCTGGCAATTGAAAAACGCGAGACAAGAATCCTAATATTGCGAGGTATTTCAGGTCGAGCATTTATTTTTAGTCTATAAACAACATTTCGAATGCTGACGTGCTTTACAAGTTGGCTAAACGACTACATATAGAGATCATACAGGACTTCGTTGAAGTGGCACTAAGGAGACACGAGAAAACAATGATGCAATGTACCGCGTAACCACCAAGCATATCAAATCAAAATAATAGTTGGTCAGATTGTGGCAGTGGTAAATCTGTCCCGCTAGTGCATAAGAATGAAGAATATAACTTTTGATATCCCGAGGGAGGGCGAATATGTTTAACTTCCCAATATCCCGTCTGCTGTACATTCCAGTGACAGAGGGTCATGAAAACTGTTGATTTTCTTCGGGTTTTAAATATTCACCACACTAATCACTATTCAGTGACGAGTGCCACGCTTGTCCGAACCGAGAACCCAACACAGGCCAACTCGTATATTTGATCATTATGCAGTGTTTCGTGTGATTGCAGAGTGCAGACTGACTGACTGTGGCCTTGTGGATAGAAGGTACTTTGAGTGTTATTTTTTAACATTTGTCTAGCTATGCTGTTGTAGAAACTAGAATGTAAATAGAATATTGAATACAAGCCGCGCCCGCGCCCGCGCACCGCGGCCCGGATCTCGAAACAGGCCGCGAGCCGCGAACTCTTCTCAGTTGTTTTTTTCTTGACCTGCCGGCTGTCTATCTCTCTCTCTATATACAGAGAGTAGAGACTAGAGTGAAAGTGAGAGCGAGTCTCTCTACTAGAAGACTCTATTTATTTATTTTAATCATATAAATTCTAAAATAGCTAGAGTTGCCTGGACTGCTGGACTGTTGGAGTCACTGCTGGAGTGCAGAAGAGTCTCTAGAGTCACTGGAGTCTAGACTCCTCTAGTTTAGTATGCAGTTAAAGTCTCTCAGTCTCGCTCTCTCACTACATAGTCTCTCTCAAATAGAGAGTAGATACTATAAATTCAAAATTTGGAGTGATGTGAGACTGTGAGTAGACGACTTCAACCGTTTTCCGTTAAAACTTTTACAAATCGAATAAATATACGTTTACGTTCATCTTTTATTTCATATGCGGTCCTTGTATGTATGGCATAGGTACACATTGCGGGTCTAAACATTTAGGTGTGTACTGTTTTCATCATACGAACTCGTTCTAAAAAAGAACTTAGGGAGGCCGTTCTGATCACTCTACAACCGTTAGAACGTTTTAAAATTGTGTAAATAAATATGCGTTCAACTTCTATTCCATACCCCCATAACGTAATGAGCTTAGATTCCAGTCAATATTCAGAGTTCAACTGTTCACTGCTGTAAACCTGTAATGTATCGTAAATCCGTACATAACTCGCGAGCTGCGTGACACGTCAGCATTTCAGCGCTCTCAGAGTTTCTGTCCTCGGAGGCTCGGAGTCAGCGGCCTTTTTTTGTTTTGTTTTTAAACAATTTAAAAGAGCTTTCACCACACATACCAAGTTCTCGAGTCCATTCATTTATGCAATAAACATTTTTTTATAAAACAAACCAACCCAAATTGTATCAGGACTTTAACACAAGGGTTGGCTCAACTTGATTGGTTAAAACTTTTCACTTTTGTGCAGTCTGGAGTATTTGAAGTTTTTATTTTTGTCTGTGATTTGCTGAGTACCTCTTTTTATATATATAAAATTCAAACTGATCTACAAGCAGTTCCAGTGAATCTTATCAGTAAAACAAATACACACAGTCAGTACTCAGTACTCAGTACTCGTACTTCAGTACAGTCAGCAGTTAGCACCACTTACAAAGTACATACTACAATACATAGTACTTTGTACATACAGTCATACACAGTACATATGATAGCATTTATTTATTTTAGGTATATTTTGCTTTGTTTTGTTGAAAACGAATGAGCAACAAGCCAGAATTCTGAAAGTTGAAACTCGTTTCGCATAAATATTTTGTTTTGATTTTGTATATATATATTTTTATAAAAAAACAAATAAAAACCATATATAGTATTTTTGTTTTTTAATAAAAACAATATGTAAATAAAATATACATAAATACATACATATTTACTCCGGAGAGATGGAAGAGCCGGAGACTCTCCTGCGATTGACGTCTGATATATAATATTCAGACATGGTATTTCCGTTCTTGTATTATTGCGACACGTGTCGCGATACTCGTCAGTGACTGCATACATCTAGCTAGCGGATGACAAAAGAGATGGCCAGTTAGTAACCCTTTATGGGTCTGTTTGACAAATTTAAGAAGATGCAGTCACCTATTTCCAGTCTTAGAATATATCAACATACGTGTTACAAGTAAAACCGATTCATGAACTATTGCTGACGGCTGTTAGTGTTTTAAAGATATCATATCGTAGTGACTGTCTAGCAACTTTTCCCCGACTATCAAGGAAACAATTTAACTGATTAGAGCATACTAAATACAACATCTAAGTATTGGTTGGAAATCAGTCTCGTCGAGATAGTACCTGATGGATAGTTCTGTCGCCTACTTTCCTGACATTATCATAAATTACATAGGTGCGTATTAGACATATGCACAATGATTGTCAGAATATCATTGCATGCGGCTGTGTGGTGCCTCAGTGTATTTGGGGCGTGTGGAGCGCAGAAAATTTTGAATTTTGAAATCGGCTGGAAGACACTCATACTCTCATCTAACGCGGATTTGGCTCAATTGCCGGTAGGAATGGCGAAGGTAAGCTGGTTTTTTGTACATACTACCTTCAATTTTGAAAATGGCTGTAGTATCGTCGTTGATAGATTTGCCTTGAATTGCACTAGAAGTCTGATTTTCTTACAAAACAACTGCTCAACCAGGCATACGGGGCGAATTATGATTTGATATCTGTCGACGCGCAAGGTGGATTGCAAATCCAACTTATCGACCCTGTCACATTAAAGCCAAAGTACAACTCAAGTAAGTCTACGTCTAACTCATCAATACTAGTTATTTCGGTGTCTATCGTACTTTGTCGCACCCGATAGGCGATATTTATATGTTCGCATCTGAGCTATATATCTGCTCGATCTATACTTCCAATGGTGTATGAATATGGAGGCATGTGTATCTAAACCAGAAATTTATGTTTAATATTCAAAGTTGTTCAGACATCTGCGACTGCCAATGGTTTGGGGGCTAAGCGAGCTATTTTAGACGACTATTGTGCAAAGTATAATGTGAGGAGGGTGATGCTCAACTCAGGACCCATCGATGTAGGTGAGTGAAAGTTCTCCGGCATGCACTCGACCCATATTTTACGGAGTACATATTTTTATCAGCGGTGATTGCCGTCAAAACGCATACAATCCCTTGAGATAAATACACTCCGTGCAAAATTCTATTCACAGCCGATGCAGCAATCTACGGACTCTCAGGGCGATTGAGCACGTCGGCAACGACGGTGCAATATCTGTACGACACTGCTGTACAGGGTGTAAGTAATGTTGTACGTTCGGGAGTGCCAATTAAAGTAGGTATGGAAACCGAGTTTGCTTCCAGTACATTCTGGATCAACCCGGCATATATCAACACTGCCTTGAATAAGGACCAACATATTCAACCGTTGCTCAATTTGAACTTTGTGGTGACCAGCTCGGATGCACAATACGTGACGGACCCCGTTGGCACTATAACGACCGCTTTGGGGGGGATAATCCATCGCACTCCCAGTACTGGCGTAGAGGTGATGTACTTTTTTATCACTGCAAACGCTAACGGATTGCACGGGCCCACACTCGCGCACTCTTGGTTCCCCTGGGTTACAAAAGGCCTGTTCATGGGTCAAAGGAGGTTAGTGCTGGACACACAAATCGACGACTTCTACCTTGATAGCAAACTGTACAACACCGGACAACGGTATCGCACCACGGCAACAGACTATGCATATCACGTGACGGAACAGTATAAGCTAAATGCCGCAAGTGCTCCTGGATCTAACTTCACGATACAGATGGCTTTCAATGGCAAAGGATACGACAGTCTCGCAAACATCTATGTGCCTGATGTCAATCCGCAGAGCGTAGCTCAATTTGACAAGTTTCTTTGGCTCACACACACGTGGAATCACATCGACATGTACTGTATTCAGTCGACTTGTGCACCGAAAAGCACCTACATCGATCCACAACTGAAAGCTTGTCACGATTGGCGTGCATCTGCTTGTCCTTATACCGAGCCAGTGTACCCGTCTACGGGTTATACCCCTTACGAGTACCAGATGTATGAGCTTACAAGAAACATGCGCTTTGCTTCCACGGTGCTGAAGACCTCTGCTCATCCAAAAGTTTGGTCTCCGTACTCCATTGTGACCCCAAGAATATCAGGACTTAATTACACCGAATCGATTAGGTATGGTTTTTATCTGATTCATGGGATAGTTTCTGCCTACCTATTGTCTTGACTTTCGGTTTCATAAATTAGCTGTTGATCGTAGTACTGCAGAATTGGGCCGAATTGGGTGGTATGTATTGGTCGTGGCGCACAAGTTTGTATAATGTGTCACCGTACTCATTTCTCAGCATACGATGTTCATGATAATCAGGGCCATGCTTGCAGCTGGACTTCGATTTGCGGTAGGCGATAATTCACGCGCAGACTTGAGGCCTGTAAATCCTTGGCACCCCTTCGTTGCAACTGCTAAGGTCGGAGCAACTGGCAACCTCCTCACAGACATCCAAAAGGCAAATTTCGAAACTGAGATGGAGCGGTTGTACGGTGCCAAGTCTATGGTGGTGATACCAAGATTCGCCACTGAGATTTACTTTGATACGGCTACCCAGCAACAACTGCAGAGTGAATTCAATAGTTACTACGGACCAAAATGCTACGGCTATGATCAGAGCGCGTCAGCAACGGATGGTGGCTACAAATGCAACGTGAATTCATTCAAGTTTCCACGCGATCTGACGGCTACCGAGATTATTGGGATGGAGGGCTTCCGCACTGCGAGAAACTTACTTAACATGAGAGTCGACCCTTACATGGTAAGTTGCCTCTGCGATATACTATTGTACGCTCGCAGAGAATATGGCATTTTGATGTTGTGTTGATTATGACTGCGTCCATCTACAACCTCGGCTACTCTAAATTTCCACCCCCATTTCTAGTTTGATATCTAAGTTTGTTCATGTGTTCTTCATTATTCTTGTAATGTAAGGAAACAGTTCGGATTTTCACAGAGACAGGATTGGCACACACAAACTTTGCTATATAGCTGGTTGGCATTCTTTTCAATTGAATTGATGCGATGCTTAACACCTCTTTATTTAACTTTCATCGGGCACTATGATCACCCAAATCCGAACCATCGGTTAACAGTACCATTTTGTGAAATGCCATCTAATCCACACCTTATACACAATTCTTCATAACAGTTTCACCAGGCCAACCTGGCAGTGGTCGATGGTGTCAGCCTCCTCAGTCTATGGCTGCGAGTGGTTCAAAAGTGGCTAAACCTGTACGTAACCTTCCCCATCATCACATACAAAATGGACGATCTCGCCCTGTATTTCCTGAGGCGCAAGTTCAGAGATGAGTGTGGGTTGACGGCGTCGGTCAAATACGCAGGTGGATTGCCTACCAGTATGAGTGTGACCTCACAGGGAAGATGTACTGCCGTCTTGACGCACACCAAGACGGTGGACTCTGAATTAACCGCACCACGCATGGTTGGGACAAAGTATGGTGAGCACGACACCAATTATTACTTGCCTTTGGTTACTCCCGGTAAGTCCACAGTGGTTAAATTGGGGGTGGCGGGGTGCAGCACATGCCAACTCCAACCACAGAGACCCAAAATGTACATCTGGGATTGGGATGATATGGACGCCATAAAAAAGGCCTACAAGGATAGTGCAACGGGCCCAGTCTTTGCAGATACACTCAGTTTCTTACTACGAGAGTTGGTCAGATGGGGAGTGATGGATGGGAAGAAGTTCTCGGTCACACAGCAGACCCTCTTGCCTGGATCTGGTGATCGCAAAGACTATTTTACTATAGGATATTACGCGTGGCCTTGTCAGGTGAGAAAATGCACAACTGTGTTGTTGTTTCGCGTCGTACTCATATTGGATGATTCTGCTGTAGTATAGAGATACAATCCGCCAATCTCTGCTTGTCTTTCGTCATTGTTCTCACATCTGCTTGAATGGAAACCCCTCAATTTAATAGGAAGCCCTGAAGTTGTATGGTTGGGGCGACGCAGTAGGACAATGCGATCCCCCACCCAATAACCTCTGCGTTGCTGACGCGCACTGGGGTAGTGTACCCTATATCGTTTGTGATGGTAAGTTGTTCAAAACAATCGAATCTACTTTCAGTTCCCTGATTTTCAATAGTTTATCATCGAGGGAGATCATGTTCTTGCCATTTCTAAAACGATGTCATGCATATTGCAGGGATCCCGAACAGGGCGGCTTTCGACGGAACATCGAAGGATCATATGCAGCAGATGACAAGATCCGTAACGTCACTAGCCCTGCTATGGTTTTACAGTGATGATGACAAGTATGCCCAGGTAGGCCCATATGTTAATAACTGAACTTAGCTTTCAGCTGTTTGCTCGTTACGTGAGTGCATCTAATCACACATTGAATTCCCGAAACCCGCACTGGCACTCGCAAATGCATCTATGACGTCTACGCGGACCCGCACATTCAATGAGGTATCCCAATGCACCCTTCAATTAGATTGCTGCCGATCTGCTGCGGTACTTCTTCCTGGAGGCCACGACAGCGATGAATCCGAATCTGCAATGGGCACAGTACCGCCCGGGAATGCCCTTTGTTGGCTTTGTAAGTTCTTGATTCTCATTGCGTACTTGTATAGCAATCGATCAGTGTGCAACATGAGTGATACTTCGTGTGCGCTACTTGAAGAAAACTCGGCGTATCGATCTTAACTTATCGATCTACATTTTAATCACTTCAATCTTCTGGTGGGTGTCATACACTTTCGACCTATTTTTCAATTGGAATTTGAAACATCCAACTTATCAGGGAATCGTTGAGATGGGCCCTTGGTCTGAAATGCTGGACGCAGTTGCGATCATCAGGACGTCTAATTACTGGTCTGAAGCGGAGCATAGACAGTTGATGGATTGGATGACTAACTTACTTCAGTGGTTAGAAACTAGCGACAACGGAAAGCTGGCAAGGTACCATCAGAATAACCATGCGACATGGTTCCACAACACGGCTATTGGCATCGCACAACACGCCAAAGAGTATCACAGCTACGCCGCGAGTTTTGGACTACAGTTGCTCGCAGCTGTTCCTGCAATCATCAGATCGCAGATTGACAACACTGGCTTGCTGCACGAGGAGGTCACGGTAAGTATTTTGTATATATGTATTAAGTTCTTGCTTTATTATGAACCGGCAGTCTTGATTCTATTTTCGATATTATATTCACATACGGTCGCCATGAGTAGCTGATTTGTATCTCATTTGTATTTGTTCCTCCACAGAGGAGTAAGAGTATTCACTACCTTTGCTATACCTTGACGCCATTCCTACGAATCCGAAGTATGGCGGAAAAGTCTTCGAATGGTAATTACTTTGCCGGTATTTCCGATTTGCTTCTGCAAGAGGCAATCAAGTGGACTTACCCCTATATGCAACGGAGGGTGGCGTACCCATACAGAGACATAGATTTGGAATCCGGTTACTACAGTGATGTGTGGCACAGGTGTATGGAACCGGTGGCGCTCACCACCAGAATCTATCCCAGCCTCAAGACTAATAACGATATGGGTATTAGGATACAAAGGGACGAAGCTTATTGTGTTAATCCTCGCACATTCGGTCATCCCACGCCCACGTGGGACTTTAACACACTCGCTCTATTCGGTGATATCTCATGCTTATAATCTACCGATAGCATGCGGATGGTAGATCGAATACACAGTGACACCATCTTGCAACCTCGACACGATTCGAAGTGCGTAATCGATTTGATATTTCTTTAACAGACAAACAACAGTCTGAAACATAAAGTCTTGCACACCACTCTCAAATTGATACAAGCATCTTCAAGGTATTTGGTTGTTCAATGACTACACTGGCAGCCCATAGTATATCGCTACGACAGTTACGTTCGCTATGTTTGTTTTCATCGCTATGAAAGTTATAGTCGTGGACAGACTCGGGTTACAAAATGACAAACTTGAATTATCGTATCGACATTGTTTAGTTCGTATGTATATCTGCACATCTGAATACCTGAAGTAAATACATTTTTGAGTGAATAAAATAGACACCACGTCGCCACCTGTACGTGATTCCAATGATACGCGTTGTTGACATTATCTGCAATTATATCCATTGTACCATTGAGAGTATTCAATATTGGGATCTGGGGAGGCCTATTTGATGTATTGTCTAAATTTTCATAGCCTCAAGCTCGGAAAGTGGAAACCCCCTCTCTCGCAAGCTCCGGCGTGGACGGTTCCGTTAAGATCAGAGGATCCTCGTAAACTCTTCTTTCCAACTCGATCACGCGCGCCAAAACTCTGTCGCCAACGTCATAGTTTGCGATAAAGTCGAGGAATATCCGTAGCAACCAATCGATCACACAGGCAAAGACTGCGATACCGAACCCATTTCCGGGTATGGCGATGATATCTGCTAGGGCAAGAACCTCACTTATCCGGGGGGGGCGATCCGGACTCAGAATGTAGTCTTCAACAACGCAGATCATTTCCGAGTCTCCGTCCTTGAGTAATTTTTCGATCAGTTTGAAGAAATCAATTTCCGAGTCTCCACCCTTGAGTAATTTTTCGACGTAATCCACTTTCGACTCTGTTGGTTCACCTTCGGGATCCACTTCAGAGCCTACGTTGGTGTGATCCGTCATATTTTTTTAGACTGATAATATTTATCTATCAACCTCTATATTTATACCGCTCACAAGTCACACATTTTGTTGCGAGACGTTTCGACATTTATAATACTTACCAGTAAGTCCCACCGCGTTCTACCAATAGACCTGGCACCTACCATTAGACCTACCATAGTAGCTGGCGTCGGTGGCGCGTGAATCGGTAGGTTGTTGTACAGTGAGACAAATTTCAAGTTGTTGAATTTGTCGAGGCTTTTGCAATTATGTGAGCGGACAAGTACTACCGTTCGTCCAAACGGCCCGGGTGTAATGGTACAAGCAAGTTGTGGACGTCAGGGCACCTAGAAAACACCCAAACGCTCGTCGTTTCCACGCTGCTGTTTACATTTCTTTTATTTGACAAGGTGAGTCCTCAAGTGAAATTTACTGTTCCGCACGACCAAGCGGAACGAATATTGAAAACGTTCAACCTAATTTTGTTGCGAGACGCTAATTTCGACATTTATAATACTTACCAGACTGGTGCTTCTGCGTTCGAGTACGTGTGCCTGTAAAACCCCAAACCCTACGTTCTCTGTGAGCTCTGTGAGAGTTTTCCGACTGTAAAAAATGTGTATAAAAGGCGGGTGATTCACACGGCTTGCTTCACACTTTTGTCTTCTGTAAAGTAGAACAACCAGATGTTGCGCCTGAACTACCCGATTAATAATCTCGATTCGACGGACACGTTGTATCGTCGTATGCGTTACGAAGACTTTGTCACTGGTCACCGGCTCATGTGTGAACATACTGTTGTGGAAATTGTCAGGAGCCGCGTTGACGGTCCGGGAACCCCAAACACCGACACCATAATGTTGGCCGCCAACTCGACGAACTGGGACGATTTTCTTGCGCGTATGTTCTTCGATCCCAGCTCACCTTGGGGTTTACAGCCAACCACACGAGATCGGATGGCAATGATGACGACGGTATAGGAACAACCACGAGATCGGCGAGTCAGTTTGGGGAGAACAAGGATGCGACGTGTGTATTTGATGCACTCATCACGACCGCCCAATTGGTATCGAACCTCATACTTTCGCATAACGGCGTCCGAGCAAAAAAGTGTGGTGATGTACTGCTCAATATTCTAGTGCCACTAATTCAGCGTGAGAAAGAAAAGCACCTGAGTTTGCGCAAAACGAAGGGTCTTAATGAACTTTTGACGAATCTGGCTGATCGAGCCAATATTTCAATCAATCTAGCGACCATTAACTTGAAAAGATTGATGCATATCAAGCCGACGAGGGCGGCAGTATCATGGACGTCCCAGGATATCCGGATCAGGGAGTTGTTGAGCAAACACGTCCCCACCCGGCACCGTGTCTTTACCATCATGTTCATCGACGTCAATCAGGTGACACATATGAAGATGTCTTTGCGAGCCTATAGGGATCATGTCATGTACACGACGCATCTCGAAGTCACCAAAGAAGATATAGAGCTTTTGATGCGCAAACATACCGAAGATCCCTGGTCCAACCAAATAAATGCCATCAAGTACCATCGAGGTGGACAACTGGCGGCCATACATTTCAAGAATATATGGCTCACCACGGAGCTTATCAACATACGCCTCGTCAAGATCAAGGAGCAGTGCCTTGAAGTCCGCCTGGGGGGGCACGTAGCCCAGTTTGTGAAACTGGCATGCGCGGACTTTCTGAGCTAGAACATGACCGGTGTAGACGACAAGGACTGGACCACTCGGCCCATGGAATTACTTTATGGTAACGTCACCAACTCGCGCGCCGTTACACCCAACAGTGTGTTACGTATTGGCGGTGAATCCATGTATATATCGACGCGTAAATTAGCCGCATATGAAGGCGTGCCTATCATCACGGACTTCCGGACCACAGACCGAATCTTAGGACCGAGTTTTTACTTGTACAAGATCATATCACACGTGAATCCGACCGTGTGGGAGAAAGTCGTAACCCCCATGGGTCTACATCTAGTGACGCACGTCGATTACTCTCCCGTCATTGTACAGATGCGACAACTGGGATATAGGATCCAGATCATCGCCGGATGCTGGGAATGGCGCACTGTAGATTGCTTGGATGTGGTATACCGCCACAGTTTCACCGACTTGGGCCTAAAAATCGTGGACGATCACGATATACCCGTGTATCGTAAAGTTTTTGAGATCTTGCAAGAGAGTGAAACTGACACCTATCGCTTACCTTCACATGCGCACGCTGAGGTTATGACTAAAACCCTATAAAAAACCCCTAAGACCTTCCACTATGGCGAAACTATCAACGGTGACGCCGTCGTGGGCGTTAACACGACCAATGATCGGGTCTTTGTTGCCATTACAGCAACCGTCAAGTCACTGACGCGATTCGCTATGCTGGAACAATTGCAGACCCTGGTCCTGGGAGGCGCCACGTTGCTGCGCATATGTGTGGACGGTATTTACTTTTCTAACCTCAACACTGCGCATATACATTGACCGTTCCGGATCAAGACTAGCACGTATATTCCGAACCTAGTACTGAACCTTGAACAGTCGACCAACACGGACTCGGCGCTGCTAGCCCAGCACCACGAGTTGGACCCCACCGACGTTGATCGGCTCGCGGGGTCCATACATGTCTGCTGCAACATCAAGGGGCTTACGCACCAAGACCAGGTCGACGCGTACCTGCAGTTTGCCGGGGAATCGGAACAGCCACAGTTTGCTTTGGAACACGTAAATATCCGAGAAGGTCCGGCCGGTACCGGTAAATCGTACATGGCCGTGTTGGGGGATGTCGGTGTCATGCGCGAGTTGCACGGATCATTTCTGACCACCAACACCAACGCTTTGGTCAATGCACACAAGTCCAAGATATTCCATCACGGGGGGTGGGACGGTGTGTCCGTGACCAGCAACGAGGACGGTAATCCGACCATCAACCCCAGCACTCTCACCACCGAGTACGCGGCCGAGAACTTTGGCACTAACACGGTGCATATGTCGGCGTTTACATGCGACCGCACCCTCTCCGGTGCCAACGGCGGTGAATATAAATACATATGGGACTCCTTGGTCAAGTTCATATACGAAGGATCAGGCAAACTGAACGGCTTTATCCCTAAAAGGTCGGATCGACACGAGTTTGTACGTATACTGAGGCTGCTGAACCTGTACAATGAAATGGCAAACGAGGTAAACTCGTGGAACACCGTGGACGAGGTCAAAGACGCATTCTTGGCTAAGATAAATGCCCGCGACGATTCCAAAGAACCCCCGCACCCACTTGGTATCAAACCTTTTCTGGGCGGCCCGAAATCACATTCGGGGGTCCCGAATTGGTTTGATTGCAAGTACGTAATCCTGGACGAGTTTGCGATGCAGTCACCCAAGTTCGTATTGTGTCTCATAGCCAAGTTCTGGAATGCCAAGGTCTGACAGGCGACCCAGCCTACCAACTGGGTCATTCGTCTCTGAAGTGGATGGTCATCACGCGCAACTTGGAGTTGCTTAATTCAGCCAAAGTGTCCCGGTTGCCCAACATATCGTACTACCGATACACGACCGTTCGGCGGTTCGATACCGGTGACCGTATCAACGAATTGGTAGCTAGGCTGATGGATATACGTACCGGGTTATCCGAAAACATCATCATCTCGGTCAGTTACCAGGAGTTCCAGATCAAGAGTATGCTCAAACAGTACTTCCCGGAAGTCCTTATCAAGCGCTCGGAGGGGCTCCAGCTATTCTACGATTCTCGGGATTCGCACATGAATTATCTTATATCGGCGCGACGTTCGTGCCCGTACAACGTGTGTACGAAATGGGGTAGATTCTACAGTGAACCCGCGGAAGATGACAGCATGCCCCGACTCACCGAGTCCCAGAGAGCCAAGCTACGCCTGAACTGCAATTGTTCGGGCATGAATATTATCCAGCAAGTCCGAGATGAACGCCCGGAAGACAAGGTTATCTACAGGGCCAACAATATTGCTAAGATATGGTCATGTCCCGTACTCGAATGCAGCAGTTTGTGAATAGTGGTGTGCCCCAGGGTACCTTTGCGACTTGCTGTGGCTTTACCGTACATCAATTCCAGGGCGGTACCGTCGACCCTCCGAACACCATCATCTATCATCTATCGTCGGGATGGGAATACACAAGTGAGATACTCGACGATGCGACAAGAGTTCAAGACCTTCTTCGTGTGCTGCGGCTTTTCTACACATTTGTCAGTCGATGTAGAAGAATCTCCCAAATATTCGTCATTGACGATGCCCTGGAGTAAGCAATTCGCTGCCTCTTTCGTGTTTCATTTATTTAAAGTATTTCTACATTTAACTCTAATCGTCAAGTCTGAGGCGTTTACGCATTGGTGCTGACATACCGAGCCGCGTAATTTGCACGTTGGCCAGATCAAGTTTGGTTCTGATCTCTCTCAATTCTTCGGCGTGCTTGTATTGATCGTCGTCACGACGTTCAGAGATCAAGTTCAAGCGTTGTGACAAACGCGCGTTCTTCTCCTTCAAGATGACCTTCTCGTCTTTTAACACGACATTCTCTGCATCCAGAGTTTTCTTAATATCAGATGTATGCTCAAGGTTCAGCTTGAGAGTCTCGATGATGTGAGACAGACTGTGTGTCACATTCACGCTCCCCACTTCCTTAGCAATGTTAGTAAAGTGGCCCACTATACCCTGGAGCTTTTCGCGCGGAAGAGAAAATACTTCCGTCTGCCCCTCGTACATGAACGGCTTCGCGTCGTGGAGCTCGTGGAAAAGTCCTTGACTGCCTTCTCGGCCTTGGAAGCCAGTTCAGCGGGCATGTATATAACAGCCAGACGTTCCGCACCGGGGAACTTACCTTCATGTGCAGTCAGTCGACGCATGATACTTGTTTTGGACATACCGAGCTTGACCACGACGTGGTTGTCGTCTGCGTCAGTGGGTACAGTGCACTTGTCCTGCAACTGCTCCACGGTCCCGACGAGGATGAGGTAGATCCCCATCTCAAAACAAACAGCCATTTCTGGAGGAATAGTCTTGGAGAGAGACTCCTTCGCCAGCTCGATAATTGCCACGTCGTCGCGCAGCATGAATGGGTGTAGGATATCCAGCATCCACTTACCATATGGCCCCTTCCTGTCCTTTCTACTTGTAAACATGTACTGAACGAGCCCGTCTAGTGAAATGTAGACAGGATCAGTCGCGTCCGATCCGAATCGGAAACACAGCTCATCGTCAACTGATGCCTTTACAATCTTTGCCCCCATAACTACAACGAGCTTGGCCACATCACCAGCCTTGTAGAATGTACCGGAAACTGTACCGTCCCCAATGGTGTGCACGTCAAATACATCACCGTCACATGATACAAATAGTGTACTGCTACGTGTGGGTGTGTCCATACTTAACGTTTGCATTGTAGCGTCGTTGAAAAATCGGATTCGGATTCGTCAGATTCAGAGTTTGATTTGGATTACAATGCTTTTTTTTACGTTAACGGATTAGAATCGTTGTGAAAGTGACAGGGTGCTTTACCATTGCCCTTGAAGCGTAGGGTAAATGGTAGTCCGATGTGTAAATCACCCTGACGTATCAAACCGACGGGGTGCTATACCAGCGTAGGGTAAATGGTAGTCCGATTTGTAAGAAAGCAAGGGGTGAGCTGTGCGAATAGGCCCAGAGTGAGCTGAAAAGCAAGGGGACACGTAATTGCAAGAATCAACGCAAATTTGCAAAAACCACCGTCTGTGTCCGTTTCAAGCGGACACAAAATTATAATGTCCAGAGGCTTTAAACGTCTCTACTGCACACACTCCAACGGTGATACCACCCGAGTTACCGTTCGAGTCTGGTCTGTTGGTTCAAAGTTGCAGGGTGGTTTCTGCGCTGCTACCATTAAGACCTTGTCTGAGTCGTAGTTGGATACGTGACGTACGCCGCCATGGAGCTTGTTCAAGGGATGGGTGCACATGACGAGCCGGGTCGCGTCGTCGTGCTTTTGCATATGGTCCCTTTCTGGCCTTGCGTGAATTGTATATATATATATAAAAATAAATAAATAAAATGTCACTCCGCATAATTGGTCGTGCGTGTTGTACCGCGCCGCTTTTGCGTGCAGATGTGCTACCAACCTCCTTTGACTACGAGGGTTTTTTTTAGCAGAAAATCAGCCAGAAAAGAACAGACAACTCGTACCGCGTGTTCAATGACATAAACCGTCTGGCTGAGCGCTTTCCCAAGGCCCGTGGTGGGGGACACGCCGACATTACCGTTTGGTGTGCCAACGATTATCTAGGTATGTTGAGACATCCACTGGTTATCGATACGATGCGGCGGGTCATGTCGCTCCACGGCGCCGGGTCCGGTGGTACACGCAATATCAGCGGCAACACCCGCTTTCACCGCGAACTTGAAGCGGAGCTTGCGGACTTGCACCGCAAGGATGCGGCACTGGTGTTTACCTCGTGCTACGTGGCCAACGATACTACACTGCAGACGCTGGCCAAGCTTTTGCCTAACTGCATCATTCTGAGCGACAAACAAAATCATGCCAGCATGATTGCCGGGATTCAGAATAGCCGCGCAGACAAGGTTGTTTTCAACCACAACGACACGAATGATTTGGAACAGAAACTGGCAGCGCTGGACCCTTTGCGACCAAAGATTGTGGTGTTCGAGTCAGTGTATTCAATGTCTGAGGTCATTGCACCAGTTGACGAAATCTGCACGATAGCTCAAAAATACGGCGTACTAACGTTCATTGACGAGGTTCATGCCGTTGGTATGTATGGCCATGGAGGCGCCGGTGTAGGTGAGCAGTTGGGCAATCACGTGATGGACAAGTTTGATATTGTTGCCGGTACGCTAGGCGAAGCGTATGGTGTGATGGGAGGGTATATCGCTGGATCCACACGACTCGTGGATACGGTGCGCAGCTACGGGTCCGGATTTATTTTTACAACATCGCTCCCCCCAGCCGTTGCATCTGGTGCGCGTGTGAGTGTCAAGCACCTCAAAACGAGTCAGGTGGAGCGCACTAGTCAGAGACGGCACGTGCGTGAGCTTAAGACACGGCTACACGAGTTGGGGATCCCAATAGCTGAAAACACGGGCCACATTGTCCCCATCTTGGTCGGCGACGCCAAGACTTGCCGTGCCATTTCCGACACATTGCTGCAGAAACACAACATATACGAGCAGAGCATCAACTATCCCACGGTACCTGTGGGACAGGAGCGGCTGCGCGTTACCCCAACACCGGCACACACCCCTGGACACGTTCTCGGACGCTCACTGTGCGGTAAAAAATTAGCTTCAGTGTAGGGGCGAAAAGACTCAGACTCACAGAGCCCGAGTGAAGAAAAAAAATTGAAAAAAAGGTGATTTTACATTTGGCATGAAATAAAGGCATTTTTCGATTTGGTATGAAAAAAAGGCGATTTGACATTTGGCATAAAAAAAATGGTAAATATGCCACTAAAAAAAGAGTATTTCCAAATACGCGCACTCTAGCAGAGGTCGCCGCCAATACCTGAGGCACGTCATTCAAAGAAACGCCCAGCTATGGAACGAGCAACACGGCACTCGCTCGCCGAACCATCCCGAGCTTATCGCTCCTTGCATACTTCAGCTCTCGCAAGCCACGGATGTCGATGAAGCTGGCGAGCCCTATTGGTGACTTTCTGGCTCATTGGCGCCCGCCGGGTAGCAAAAAAAACTTTCGGCCCTAAAATACTTTCGTAGTTGAGCAAGCCAGCCACACGCTATTTGATATCTCAACAGGAAAAAAAAGGAAGAATATTTCAATAAATCAAATTCATCTCACGTTCTCTAGATCGACAGACGTTCGACTTCCTCAACACTCACCTGACCGATGCGATACTTCCCCCCCCTCCCCCATACCTCTCCAAGTCCGGCTATGGTCCATCAATAGCATGTAAGACCCCCCCCCCCACAGCATCGTGTTAATTAAAAAAAGTATTTCGTTCGTCGTTCGTGCATGACACGCACGTACAATCGCTGTCCAAAACACACAGTGACATGCATTTTGCTATAGGACATCATAAGTCACACTTTGAGCACCGGCAGGCTTCTCTGAAACCCAATCGCTGCCTTACTCGCCACATTATAGAATCAGGATGAATCACCAGTATCGTAAGGTCAGCAGTTCTTGGATGATGCCTAATTACTCCAGAAATTTGCGCGCAAGTAGGTTTTAGCGAAACAAAGCCCTCATGGGGGAAAATCTTTGCAGAACATGCACAACCAATTGAGCACGAACCTTTGCCAACAGCAGCAGAGGAAGTCTTTCGAGCAAGTCGTGGCTAGTGATTATGTGTGCAAGTCTAAGTAGCAAGAGAAGGTCACCACCGCATATCTACCCACACCAGAAAGTATTGAGAAGTCGCCAAGATCTAAATGCACGCATACTTCGACTTAGCAACGAACTATGTCAAGAAATTGAGCATAACAACACGCTTCGAGCCGATGCTCTCCGGAAAGCAACAGAAGCACTCCCGGCTACACTCGAGTCCAAACCGGTTGAGAAACGCACAGTGCCGTCACCACGCACCTTCCCCGATTGGCCATCAAACAGATTACACCTGCATGCCATCATGAAACGTGACAAGAGAGGTGCTCTTCTAAAAGCCTTCAAGAATGCGCAAATCGCCGGCCTGGACGATAGTTGGAGCCTTACATGGTTCCATAAAGTATTGTCTCACTTTAAACCAGAGACATTAACACTGGACTACATACTACTCAGCTCATGAAAACCCATAAACGGACACGCGAACATTGCCAATCTGACGCGGACTTGAAAACCCCCTTTTGAACCACTGCACCGTATAGTTATTAGAGGAAGCACTTAACGGACGCACGTACGAACGGACTGTCCAACTACGTCCAAAATGGCAATTAATGGAGACGCATGGGCTACTGCAACTATTGAGTCCCGACATTCAGAACGCCCAGCAACGTACAACAGCGTGTGCAACTACAAACTCGTACAAATAAGGATGGGACGACCACCGGGACCCGCGACTATACTCACAGTCGCCCGAACCCTCAGACAGTACAAAGCCAGATGCAGAACTGGCCACAGCAGCCCCAAGCAACGACGTCGACTTCATGTATCGGCTGTCAATCACAGGCACCACCGGGCACACGACATATCCCACGCTGTCATCATTTTTGAGCAGCACAGCCAGGCGGTAACGACAGCCGTGTACCGCGAGTGCGATCAGAACCGTCCGCAGAGGGATACACAACCCGCACAACGACCTGTAACAGTCATGGCCTCAGGACAAGGGCAAAGCAACAGCCTAGGCAAGGAATTTCCTATCAACCGACTCACTCCCAACTACAGGTGAGCACGATAACACAGGACGACGACTTTGCACTTCTGCCAGAAGCCACCAAAGTACACATCAACGCGATACTCACGGATAATTATAGCAACGAAGCACCGGCACCAGATAACAACTACGGGGGATGGGAGTCAGTCGCCGAGCGTGAATGAGAAGTTAGGGTGTTTGAGACAGATATGAGCTTGAAGTTTATAAACACTATCAATGCAGTCATGGCGATACAGAATTTATTGCTGTCATCTGATAACCGAGTCTATATTCAAGTGCAAGTCAATAGATGCACGTTCAGAGCCTTGATAGACACAGGGGCGAACAAAAGTACATCTCACAAACATCCGCAGACCTTGGACGCCCAATAACTCCAGCACCACCTGGGTCATTCTTCTATATAGCGGGCAAGTATATGGATGCACGTTCAGAGCCTTGATAGACACGGGGGCAAACAGAAGTTGCATTTCACAGACATCCGCAAACCTTCTCGGACGTCCAATAACTCCAGCACCACCTGGGTCATTCT